TTTATTGCATATAAAACATGACCATTGGCATTTTTGACCTTGGAAATCCCAAAATTTTGCAATCGCTGGGACTAACTTCCCTGAGACAAATGCAGCATAGATTTTCTACTGTGACAAGCTGGGAGGGAATGAGGAAAGAGTGGGTCCTGGCTCAACCATCTCTGTGTTCACTGGTGCAGCTAAGAACAAAGAGTTCTTCTCCCCATGCCCTGTTCCAGCAGGGCAGTACATTAACATTTCTCATGTTGGCCCCAGCTTCTACTTTCTGAAACTAAGTTCCAAGCAAATATGGCTAAAAGCTGGGGGCTCCTTTCTTCTGTATTCTCACAGGATGGAAGTTTCACCTGGAGCACAGAGATCAGAATACTGGGGCTCAGTTGCCGTTATCCAGATCATAAGTGGTGATTCCATCCTGGGAGAGGCAAGCTCAAAAGACCTGAGATCTCTCTTTTCCTCCACTGAGCACATAGCTACTAGAGTGGGGGATGTCACTTAAAAAGAAGAGTACCATTAACTCTCCTGCATTGCTGGTGGGAATGCAAACTAGTACAACCACTATGGAAAACTGTTTGGAGGTTCCTCAAACTGCTAAACATGGAGCTTCCCTATGACCCAGCAATCCCACTCCTAGGTATCTACCCAAAAGACACAAAAACACTGATTGAAAAAGATACTTGTACCCCCATGTTTATTGCTGCTTTATTTACAATTGGAAAAACATGGAAGCAGCCCAAATGCCCAAAAGTAGATGACTGGATAAAAAGATGTGGTACATATATACAATGGAATATTACTCAGCAACCAAAAAGAGAAACAGATGTCTTTTGCAGCAACTTGGATGGAGCTGGAAAAGATCATGCTTAGTGAGATAAGCCAGAAAGAGAAAGAAAAATACCGGATGGTTTCACTCATAGCAGGAGTATAATGGACCAGGCGAGAAAATAACAAAAATAATGAGCAACCATATACCAGAGACATTCTGTGGGGGCGGAGTGGGGAATGGGATCAAAAACGGGGGGGGGGGGGGGCGGGGGGGAGGGAGGGAAATGCACGGGACTATGGTGGTGGCACAGGGGTGATTTGGTGATGGAGGCACAGGGGTGATTTGGTGATGGAAAACCCACAGGGATTACAATCGAGATGGGAAAAAAAATGTGCAAAATGATGTAAAAATAAACTTTGTAATAAAAAAAAAAAAGAAGAGTGCCATTATCCTTGCTCATAGTTCTAGAACCATAGTTCAGAGATTTTTATCTAGATGGAAAAGCAGGTTATAAAGCAACAGCATCTAAGTTTTTCTCAAAGGAATTGACTTCATTTGTAACTGTGTATGGCAAAGATCAAGCCTAAGAATACTTTCCTTAAAAAGGAAGGTTGTGTGTGATGTAAAGCATTTTGGGGAGATTGGTAGACTCACTGGAGATACAGATTAAATATAGTTTACCTGAGTGAACCACAAAGAAACAACGAGGAGGGATTTTCCTGGAATCAAAAGAAATCACACTGACCTTGAGAACTATACCTTCTAAGATCCAAAATTTAATCAGATTCCTTGTTTTTGTTTTGTTTTGGGGAAATTTGTTCCCCGACCTTTGTTGAAAAAAATAGAGTAAATCAGTACACAATTAGTAGAGTTAACAGTTTGATGTAATCATGAGAAGAGATGGTCAGAGAGCCCTACCAAAACTATTATATCCTGAGGGTGAGTGTGGGTAAAACCCGTTAAGGCTCTGAGGAGTATCACCAAGGATTAACCCAGCAGAGGAATGGGAAAAGCGGGAAAGAGTGATTTGATTTCACTAAAGTAATATAATCAATCAAAACAAACAAATATATGGTAACATGCTTTCGTGGGTGAAAGGCTTGATCATAGAGTTGCAAACAGTATATTTTCTAAAGTATCCAGTTTCCAATAAAAAAATTATAAAACAGGGCCTCACTGGTGTAGCAAGGGCTTAAGACACAGCACTATGAAGCTATCCGCAGCCACTATAACATGAGTTCAATCCCCAGCCAGAAAGGTGGCCCACATGGTGTGGGTCTTGCCCTTTGCTCCTCTCAGCAGGGTACTTCAGTCTACCGATTCTGTTCCCCACTCTGTCTCTGGTGAATCCTCTCACCCTCCACACCTCTGGCATACTTGTATCCCAGTTCTCATATGCATAAATAAATAAATCTTAAATCAAACAAAAAAAAGAATAAAAAGGAAGACCACTTATAATTGTTGAGTACCCCCATACAGATGAAGGGCTAAATTCTGTCCTCCTGATACCCAGCACTGCCCAAACAGATGGCATGATGCTTGGGCAATACCCTGGTCTGAAATCTACTGCTGAGCAAGGTGGTTGCTGAGAAAGGGGTGGAGCTAAGCATCTGTGTTTGTGAGTCTTTAAAAAGGAGTGAGGTATTTGGGCTTTCTCGTTTTCATTGGTGCTGCTGGAGAAGGCAGCTACCCTTTGGCCAGGTATGCGGGAACCCCCATCCTTTCCTGCCCTCTGACCTTTGCTCCTCTCCTCACCAAGCTCCTCTAACTATACCTCTATGAGTCGGTTAACTGGATCTTCTCCCTCTCCCTCTACTCTGTTGGTTACTGTAAAATGTTTTGCTGCATCGAAGTGGCTAGGCGTACCCAGTGAGAGAAATTTTAAGCCAATGACAGTTTTTATAACCTTTGCCAGTAACATCATAATAAAAGAGTCAGCTCATCTGGAAGATACAGCAATTATATGTATGTATTTGACAACAGAGTATTAAGATAAATGAAACAAAACCTGACTGAAGTGAAAGGAAAAAGAGAAACTATAGTAGTTGGTGACTTCAGTATCTTATTTTAAGTAATAGATGGAACACAAATTGTTGAAATCAATTTCTAGGCCCAAGATGGAACCACTCTTTTCTAGGAGTCTGTGTCAGGAAAGCAAAACTTAGGTAACTTTTATGTCCCTGTGAATGCTCTGTTTAAACAGAAATACCGTAGATCTTCTCAGCTAGTCCCCATAGGCCTCACCAACTCTGGACTCTGCTTACTTACTGGAACCTTATTATTTATGCAACAAAAGTTTCCTGTCCTCTATCCCATTTTGCAGTTCTCCAAGTGGAGACAGTTATTTCTTGGTGCTATTATTTATCATCTGAATTGTCTTTGTTAATCACTTTGAATATATTGCATATGTATTTTCAATTCATACTTTATTTGCTTATATTTAATTTGACATTAGCTGGGCAGCTATTTCTTTTTTATAGTAGTTTTCCTTGTGATGTCACCAGATGTGAATACCTGGGTAGGTGAGCAGCAGCTCAGCTCCATTATTTTCTTTCAGTTGTGGTAATATATACATAAAATTTACCATTTAAATTCTTTTTGTGTGTACAACTCACTGGCATCAGGTACACTCATTTTATTGTGCCACAATTCCTCATTTTATTGTGCCACAATTCATCTCCACAATATGTTTTTAATCAGGTCAAACTGAAAGTCTGTATTTATTAAATAATAATTCCCTCTATTCCCTTCCCCTGAAACTTTTGGTAACTATTACTCTACTTACTTCCTACAAGAATTTGACTAATCTAAGCATCTCATGTAAGTAGAAACAAAATATTTTTCCTCTTGTGTCTGACCTATTCATTTAGCATACTTTTTTTTTTAAAGATTTATTTATTTATTCATACAGAATTGGGGTACAGGCCAGAGATGCGGAGGGTGAGAAGATTCACCAGGGACAGAGTGGGGTGCAGAACAGGCAGATCGAGGAAGTACACTGCTGAGTGGAGCAGCGGACGAGTCAGGAGAGGTCTGCCACGCCATGTGGTCACCTCCGGGGCAGGCGGGGATCAAACTCATGCGGAAGTGGCTTAAGCTTCTTAGTGCAGTGCTTTAACCCACTGCGCCACCAGGGAGGGCCTCATTTAGCATACTTTTAAGGTCTGTCCATGCTGTAACATGGGTGTTGGTATTTTATTACATTTTTTGACTGAATAATATTCCAAGTGATGTTTTGCTTATGCACGTATATGTTCATATGCATTTGACTTTCCCCCAATATTTTAGCTATTGTAAATGCTGCTATGAACACTGATATGTAAATACTGTTGGAATAGACTGGTGTAGAGGAGAGGCCAAACTCCAAACCCTGATTCCAGTCAGGAGCACAGATGTGCAGTGCCTTGCCCTAAATCCACCCAGATGTCCTGAGCAAGAGAGCTGCCGTGGAGGGATGGAGTTGAGTGACCATCGTGGAAACCTTTAAAGGAAAACAATGCCGTGGCACTTCTCTCTTCCATGGGTGCTGCTAATGAAGGCAGCCACCCCCTTGGGTAGGGGAAGCGGCAACAGTGGCAGACCTCTGCCACCCCCTGCTGGCTCCTGTAGGAGCAGCTCTACTCATATGGCTTGTCAGCGCCTGGGTCTTCTCTCTCCCTTATTGTTTTATAGATTTTTTGTTTATAGATTTTTTTTTCTTTTTTGTACCAAAGGTCCTTTTGTTTGCATTTGTGGTGGCCAGACCCAGAACTGGTAAGAGAGATTCTGACCCAGTGGTGACTTTTAGATCCTTTGTCTAGTAACAAATCTGTTTGAGTCTGATTCCCATTCTTGGGGCTATGTTCTTAGAAGTGGGATTGCTAGCTCATAAGGATCTAAAAAAAAGCAATTTCGAATAAATAAATAAATAAATAAATAAGGATCTAAAAAAGCAATTTCGAATTGCTTAGGAAATCAGTATACTGCTTTCCACAGTAGTGTGCCACTTTGCATATGATTACTTTTACGTTTTAAGTTATGTGACTCAATTCTTGGTGTAGGAAATTGACACTTGCGATATACTTGAATATAGAAAGTACATCTAACTGAAGTTGCATGGGGTGTTGTAGTGCTGAGACTTAACTTCTTGTGCCATCAGCGAGGTCTCTGTACTTAAATATTTTTGCGAGAGACAAGACCAGTAGACAGGCAGAAAGACTGACTTCTTTAGTCAGTCACTTTATTACTTCATCGTTCATCACACCAGTCGCCTCCTAAAGGCATGGGAAATCACAGTGCTTTGGTACTTGGACAGAGGTGAATGCAGAGGCATATCTGCAATTTTTATATCTGGGAGGCCTTTCTTCAAGACAGTTTTGCGATCTTCCCCATGGCAAAGTCTTTCACTGTGTTCCAGAAAGAGTGTGTCTTCTAATGTGCCAGCATAGATCCCACAAGCATCTGCATGCTAAGAAAAGAACATCAGTTGATCACATTAAACATCATTTTCTTGTTACATTAAGGTGGAAGTCTCCAGTAGTTTTTCTAATTGTCTGAGGGGGAAGGTCTAGAGGACAAAGCAACATCCCTTTTCATTGAAAACAGTGCTGTTGCGTTTGGTGTTGTTCAGCCTCTGGAAAGAGCAGTGTGGACTCCAGACCATAAAATAAACATGGAGTCAGATTGCTGAGAATTAGTTTTACTACTTTTACAAATCGTCTCCATGAGACTGAATTTTCCTATGGGGTTATATAAAGAAAATGTAAATCTTGGAATTTATACAATGTTGTAAACTAATGTTACTTCAATTAAAAAGAAATATTAGAAAAGTTGCCAACTAAACTGAAAAAAACATGAAAAATTTGTGTTGAATTTTAGTTATAGAAAGTAAGGTAAAGAATAAATGGATTTGCTTGTTAATTGCACAAACATATTTCTTTCTAGTAATCCTAGTTTGTAGTCTCCTCTTATAATCTGTGTATTGTAACGCATTCTATTCTCCTTTAAACATCTTACATTTCATAAGTAAATGTGTAATATTAATTGGGATTTGTAAACTGCTGACTAGAGGACTAAATATGCAATGAATCTTTTCTAGTTTAGCCTTTGTGACTCTGAATATGTAGTACAACTTTAAAAAATACATACTATCCACTACAGCTTTCTTTTTATGGTGCCTACTTCTGATGAGCCTTGTAATATCTATGAGTGGGTGGAGAAAAAAATACAATTCTGAAATTGTTCAGTATATTTACTTCAAGTTTGTGATTGGATTATTTGCGTAGATAATGCTGTTGAACTTTTGCATGATGTTTGTGTGAAATTACATCAAAATAGTTTTTTGCAGGCTCAGAGAATGTAACAGTGACAGGGAAGGATAAATGTGTAGATACAGGTTAAAGTGTACAAACTTTTAGTTATAATAATGGTATAATAATCTAACTACAGCATGGTGACTATAGTTACTACTTTGTTGTGTACTTGAAAGTTGCTGATTTTAAGCATTCTCACCATACATACATAGGAAAGAGTTAATCATGTGAAGTGATAGATACGTGAATCGTCTTAATCTTGGAAATTTTTCTGCTATGCTTAATGTATATTGAGTCATCACACTGTACACTAAATATAGATATGTTAATTATTTCTCAAAGTTAAATAAAATAGCTTTTGTTCAGCTTATGTATGTCTATCCATAGATAAAGTGGCATAGGCTTTTATTATAACTATTTAAGCAAAATACCTTCAGATTCACATTCCTGAATTTCATGTTTATTTTCCAAGGCATAACATAATGTCTAGGGATCATCCCTTGCCTAAATGAAAATCGTGGCAAATGAACATCAGTATACCTGAAAATTAGAAAAGCAGGGAGGATAGTTAGAGTTAAATACAATTGTTTTAGCATTTCTTCTAGGGAAAGGAGACATGATAAAGTTGGGTTCACGATATTTATCTCATCTCATAAATATCAGAGATATTTACCTTATCTCTCTGCAGGACAGAGAACTATGCATTGTTTGAATCTCTTTTAATACATGATCAATCATTAAATACTCACATATGGAGAGGGGGAAAGCTGAGAACAAAGTGGGGAAGTAGCATGGTGGACTATGTTAATGGACTATGCATACTGTGATAACAGTACCTAAAAGGGCGATCCTATCTATCTAAAATACAAACAGCAGGGCCTCCCTGGTGGTGCAGGGGTTAAAGACACAGCACTACCAAGCTATCTACAGCCATTGCAGCCATGAATTGGATGCCAGGCCAGGTGTCCGGCCAGGTCAATGGCCCACATGGCACAGCAGACCTCTAGCCTGCTGCTCCCCTCAGCAGTGTATTTCAGTGAGTCTGCCTGTTCTGCTCCCCATGCTCTCTGGTGAACCCTCTCACTCCCCACATCTCTGACTTAACCCTAGATCTTGTATGCATAAATAAATCTTAACAAAAAAAACAGCAATGTAAACCAATATAACCTGAATAAAACAAATACCCAAGAATCACTAAGTATCGCCTGTACCATAAACTGTGTCTTCACCTCTGCCTGCCTGCGGTCATTTATAATTTACCCAAGATATTCACTTTAACCTATTTTTTAAGGCTAATTTATCTATTTATGGGTGGAGGAACTGGGTGTACGCCAGAGGTGCAGGAGGTGAGGGATGTGTGTTAAAGGATTCACCAGAGACAAAGTGGAGAACAGAACAGGCAGATTTACTGAAATACACTCCAGAGGGGACCATCAGCAGTCTGCTGCACCATAAGCAGATTAGCTCCCTGGCTGGGGATCAAACTGAGGCTGTTGGGAGTAATAGCTCTGACTCAACCTCTAGGCCACCAGGGAGGTCCATCATTTTATCATGATTTTAATTAAAAATCTAGCACACTATGATTCGCCTCAGGCTTATCCATTGCCTAAAGGAATCTCTAGCCAGTCACAGAAAACAGTAACTAATTTAGCTTCTGAATTTAGCTTCTGAATATGCTCTATGCTCAGGTCAGTCTTGCTTTCCCTGCCAACACAGAGATTCCTCTGAGTAAGTCTTCTGTATTCATGTCAAGCAAAGCCCCAAATTACTGTCCTCGTTTGAGTAGTCAGATTGCAAACAAATCCCAAACCCCAAGCCCATAAGTCCTTACTTATTAACAGGCTTATTTGAACTTCCTTCAGAACAGTTGCTGGAAATTCTTGGTAATGTAGGACAAATGTCCTTCTCTGGAGCCATGACTGGCAATAATAACAGAATTCTCACCTAGAACTTCACTAGTCTATTTATGATGACATTGATGTCTCTGATGTAACAATACTAGTCAGAGCAATCCAGTAGCAGTTGATTAAGTACAGGACTCAAGCGATTTTCAGTATTTTGATAACCTTTTTGAGTAAAACATTTTTTTTTAATTAAGGGACATTGGTTTACTGTGTATCCAGAGGTATGAGCCTACACTCTCAACAGTGTTGTAACATTAAATAGTAAAAAGAGGCTGAACATGGAAAATTACAAGCTACACTGGTTATCTGACAGCATTGACACTTCTGGTAACACTTTGATATCACTAACTTTGAATAGCCAGGAAGATTTAGAGAATAATTTAGTAAAGGTAAAACTTCAAGTATGGTACCATAGAAGATTAGGATGCAAGACAAGCTATAACTTTACATGGTTTCCAAATGTTTGGGAAATAACTTTTGATGAAAATGAAACAAAAAATATGGAGGGGCAAACAATGTAGCAGTGTTAGGAACTAAGGTTCTTACAAAAACTTTTTGTTAGAAAAATTAGCACTATTTTCACTTATGGCTTTAAATTTCTGAATGTTTTAGTGTAGTCTTTAAAGTCAGTCACAAATAACCTCAAGGACAATATCCAGTTAATTATTATAGATCCATTTACAGAATGTTTTCCTTAACACAATCACTATGGGGGGGGGCACTGATGATCAGTTTCCTAACAAATTACTTTTATACTATTATATTTAGCAAGTTTTTTACTTGCTTTTGAGCCTTGCTGTACAGAAAATGTATTTCTTTTTCCCTTACAATTCTCTCTGGATTCTTACTTATTATCTCTCATGTTTTCTCTGGGACCTAAGGGCTCCCTAAGTATTTTTCACTGTACTTTATCAGCATTAATGTTTATTTTTTAGTGCTAAGTATCAGAGATTAGCTCAGAGATGATAATCAAGACCTGACCTTGTAGAATGAAAGCAATGAGACAGAAGAAAAGAAAAAAATTTGTTTATACAATTTTATAAAAGTATGAGATTTAAAAAATAAGGCCATTAGAAGCTCATTAAGGATTGCCATGTCTATTTTATTTTTAATGATAAAAAACAACTGATGACCATTTTTTTTTCATGTTTATATCCGTACATCCAACTTTCGTGAACATGTATTTCAGAAATTACTGAGACTTCAAGTACATTGTCTGCAAAGAATAATTTAACTGTTTTCTACATATTTTTACAAAATATGGTCGACTTTTGGAACATCTTAGTTACCTCCACTTCCTTTAATAATTTTGAATTGCAAGTAGATATATTTTTAATACCCTAACTTCCTTAACATAAGGTAAAACACTCTTAGGCTACCACTGGGAATACTTAAAATGTCAGTGATAATTACACAGCCACATGTAACTTTCAGAATTTAGTACATGGTGAAGTTAATTAACACAAAGTCAAAAATAAAGTTAAAGATACCAGTATTTCTTCAAAAAGCATCTGATATTTACTTCTGGACAGTGAGAAAAGCCATCAGTATACACCTACTTTTGGTTTTTATCCTTAAATTTGCAAGTTCTTAAAACACAGGAAAACCTAAATGTGAAGGAAAACCTAAATGTGAAGGCATTCATAATAATGTAACAATGTCTCATTTGTATCCTTTCATGGAATGTTTTAAAACTAATCATACTTCACTGCAGAAAAATCAGAAAAACTTTTGAATAGTATATTATAATGACCTAGACAAAACTGATTATCAACTAGTAATAACTAGCACATGCAACAGACTAAAAATTGAAATCCTCTGCTTATAGTTTTAAATAAATTTCCAGACATGAGAAATTTTTAAAGTTTCTATCAATCACATTCATTTCCCATTATATTCATTTTTATTTAAAACAAGAATACAGTTCTCTCAAGATTTTCAAGTTTAACAGTGCAAAGTACAACAAAGCAATCTCAGTAGAAATGGTTTATTACAATTTTATTTTAGAAAGGCTTATTCCTCAAAATGACTAGAAGATGTCCAAGTCGTTAGAATGATCAACTTCAATGGCTTCCTCTGCATCTAACTTTGTTTCTCCATGTCCTTCCTGTGATTCATCAAGAGAAGCCAGGGCCTCATTTGTGTCACTTGCAAAAGTTTCTCGTGATGTATCATCATCTTCTTGAAAATTTAGACTTTTAATAGCTTGCTTCATCTTTTTCCCCAGTACTTGTGTTCTCCTCTTCCTAGCTGCTTTTTTGTTTTCATATTCCTTTTGATTTTCAATGTAGAAAATGTCCTATAACAAAGGAATAACTTTAGTGAAGTTGTTTAGTAAAGAACTACCAATTATGAAGTTTATTACAAACAGACCCGTTATAATTACCATCTCCATTTCTCACAAAAAAGAAATACTAAAAGAGTCATAAATAGATACAGAGGTCCAAGATATTAAGTCCCCACTGCAAACAGAGGATGAAATGACAATTAAAACTCAACCTAGTATCAGGTATAGGGCCCATGATTATCCTACTATATCACTCCTATATTTTCTTCTTCTTTTAAGATTTATTTATTTGTGCATACAGAACTGGGGTACAGGCCAGAGGTGCAGGGGTGGCAAAAGGCGTCACCAAAGACAGAGTGGGGAGCAGAACAGGCAGATTTACTGAAATGCACTGCTGAGTGGAGGAGGGGTCTGCTGCGCCATGTGGTCACCTCCAGGGATCCACTCGCACTGAAGCAGCTGTGGCCGGCCTGCAGTGCTGTGTTTTAACACACTGCACCACCGGGGAGGGCCCGCTCCTCTATTTTCTAAATGGACACAGATAGTAGCAAAATCATCCTGTTTTTGGGTTCATGTGAAAATACTTATCTTTGCCAAAAGTTTTTATCACAAGGCATAAAAAATTAGCACTGGAATACCTTTCAGGATTTCAGGAAAGAGACTTTAAAACATGAAAATGAGATTTTCTAGTACAGGGTTTCTCAACGTTGGCAATATGCTGTTTAGGGCACGAACAGTGTTTTAGTTGTGTGTATTCTATTTTTAGCTGTATACCTGCTCTCTACATAGTAGTATACTTACCCAACCCCAAATTCTGACAACCAAATATATCTCTAAATATGGTCAGATGTCCTCTGAAGAGCATAATCACCAGTTAATGAGAACAATTTACACAGAAAATACATACTAATTAAAATAATACATGGAAAAATGTGACAACTGGGAACCCTGTAGCTATAGCATAGCTAGTAACTACTGTAGTCTTAAGTACACGAGCTGCAAATCCCTTCTGGTTTATAAAAAGACTAGGGAGGGGGTAAGATAAAGGGAGACCTTTACAAGGAGCACAAAAAGCTAATAAAAGAATAAGAAACCCTGGGATTCGAAAATGCTTCAGAATATGAGTGCTTTGATAAAAAGCAGAAATAGAAGTAATTGCTAAAGAAATAAAGAGGGGCCCTCCCTGGTGGCCCAGCGGGTTAAAGCGCAGCACTAAGAATGGAAAGCCACTTCAGCATGAGTTCGACCCCCGCCTGCCCCGGAGGGGCCACATGGCGTGGCAGACCTCTCCTGACCCGCCCGCTGCTCCCCTCAGCAGTGT